TAATTATTAGCAACTGATACAGATCTCGCTCGTTCTCCACCAGGTTCATATGAACAAAATTGGCCACCAGCAAATCAAAAAGAATTCTCACAAACAGATAAACCACCATTTTTACCACCACATCTACTTAATATCATTCTTAATAAAGATACAGCAGCACATGTAAATTCATTTTTTTTTTTCTTTGCATTTAGAAAAAAATTATTTTGTTTCACATTCTAGTATGAACCAGCTTTATTACCAGAACCAAATCATGTCATGTTAAAACATCTTTATGCATTATCCATTCGTGTAAGTTTTTATTCAATCGATAAAAAAAATAAAAACTATATTCTGTTTTTTTTTTTTTTGAATATTTCTAGGACGGAGTTATGGTACTAAGTACAACAACACGTTACAGACATAAATTTGTTACAACATGCTTCTATAAACCGACAAGCAAATAAAATATCTTTTCTCTTCGTTTTTTTTTTTTTTTTTAAAAAAAAAATAATTTTGTAGATACTTTTTGCTATATGATAACATTTCTCCCTATTAGTTTTTTCTTCGTGATATAAAAATGTTACTCTCGTGACCTTGCATCTTCATCATTTGTTCATCTGTACGATTTTTTTTCTTCTTCTAATGGTCAGAATATATGTGTGAGTGACTATATACATAGATATACGAATATATATTTCTCAGCAATGTTTTATTTGTTTTATAGTTATTGGCTATCAAAACGTTGTATTCTTGTAGTATTCAGTTGTCCATAATAAAAAAACGCTGAGTAATATGTTATGCAAACACGTATGAAAAAGAACTTTAAAATATATTCAAAAATTCTTTGCTGTACAATATAAAATCTTGCTTTGGCAAACAATCGATATCCACACTCTTCGCACTATTTCATCATCGCAACATATAATTTAATTAGATTCGTCGTTTTATCTGTTGATATAGTTATTCATTTAAGCAACTTCTTTTCTCTATTGGCATATAAAACCAACAGTATCTTGAAACATATCGTTTTGAACGAAAGAAAAGGTTGCTGAACATTTTACTTTAAAAGGTATATAAACAATTTTGATTAAATTACATGTTGCAATGAAGAAATAATGTAGATAGCAGAAAAATATGCGATCTACTAGAGCAACATTCTTACAAAAAAAAAAAAAAATTCAAATGAAACTAAAACTAGAGAAAAGTTGTTATCGATAAAATAATCATCGTTCACAAGAAAAAAATTTTATGATTAATTGATTGAAATTTTTGCTTGTTTTATGTATTAATTTTTCTTTTTTTGTTTAAATTTTCTGTTTGTTATATTATGATTGCTTTTTATCATTTTAAATAAATGATGTGGAAAAAAATTTCATGTCATATGACAACAAGAATATAAATTGTAATAACGTATTTTTATTTTATTGTGATAGAGAACGACTGATTCACAAGAATTATCAGTGACATAATTCATTTTATTTGTATATCTTTTAACAAAAAATTGTATTTCAACATTGCATATACTAATACGGATGGTTGTTCACTATATATCTCTTTGTTTGTATAATTTTTTTTGACAAAATAATCGAAATTAATCATTACTATCAACAGCATGTGGTCATTGCGTAAATTTTGTTTCGTTTATTAGAAAAAAAAAAGCCGCTCTGGCACTCGATGATTAATCATCAAGCGCACATATTTCGTCATCGCGACTATGTCTGATTGGTGTAGAATTTTTACCTCTTGGTATAAAGTTGTAATAAGCAATTTTTTTCATTCGCACATGGCTCGTAACGTTTCTTTCGTTCCTTCACATTCGATATTTTCGTTTCTTTATTTCGTTGTGAAATGTGTAAAGACAAGGTGGATATCGAGACTTAACTTCTTGTTGAATAAGTATCGCTTCTCGGCCTTTTCGGCTAAGATCAAAGTGTAGTATCTGTTCTCGTCGGTTTGAAAGCCGGCGCTGGTCCCATTGGGGCCAGGCTCTTTCAAGCGGATTTTTGGACATCGGCCAGGATCACCCGAGTTCACTCGGACCTGTACCACGGATCGTCTCGACACTGCAGTGCCGTCGAGTTCGGTCCACTCTCGTTCCTTCTGGAGCGGGAATCTCTTTAACTATGAAAACAAATATAAATCTGTGTGTGCCATTGTACTATGAAATGATTAGAGAAATAAGCGTTTCGCGAAAATTTCATTGCGCTGGAAAATCTTTACGCAATGTGGTTTTTTCGAAATGTGCTTAGACTTTTCAATAAACAGCGTTGATTCGTTCACTTTTTAATTGTGTTATGTTAATGATATATATGAGTGCATTGTAAGTTTTTGATACCATTAACGTTTTAGCTGTGTTTGGCTAATAATTTCTATTTTATCTCGTCTGACTTGAATAATTTTTTAATATGTTATTCCTCTTGGTATCCCAGACTGTCAGAGAAAATTTCAACTCTGTAGCTCATACCATTGCTGAGTTATGAGAGATGTATGGCAAAAAAACGTTAGTTTTTGTTCACATGCGAAAAGAAAAAAGGAAGTTTTTGACTATAGAAAAGCAAGAGAAAAAGTATACAATTAGGCTGTTTTGTATAGTGTTCGATACTCTATCAAAATACATCATTGGTTTACATTTTATATTTTGTTCTCTCCTTCGTACAACGTTCACATTATTTGACATACTTTATATTGTTGTGTAGAGTGACGGAAACTTGATTATAGCTCTGCCAGTGGTACAGTGGATGGTGTACAGAATATACGGTAATAAAGACAACTCTTTAAGGAATAAACTTATGAGAAAAAACTCTGTGTTATCAGCTTTGTTTCTAGATAAAAATAACAAGATTTTCTGGAAAAAGACCGTTATACCCACTTTGTAGAGTGATGCTTTGATATTTGTTTACTTTATAAGTCTTTGATAAGTCGTTCGATTTGGTTGTAGATGTAGACGCGGATGGGTATGGGTCTTCTTTATTCAAACATCCACACCCTCTATTGCAGATCCTTTCAGTATTTTACTTCATATCTTTTTAGGAATCAGTCAGAATAGACTAAAAATTTGGATCTAACGGTTTTCGATGATG